AGGTTCTTGTGAAGAATTCTGTTCTTATTCCCACTCCCAAAAAGCAGTCATGAATTATTTCAAAAGCAACACAAGTCCCACACATAAGGACGACCAGACCACTTAAAGGAGTGGATTCAGCAAGCCAGGGAGCTGAGAGCCTGGTCCTGAGACCCTTAAGGCACAGGAGCTCCTTGCTGCCACAGGTGAGGACCCACCAGTTTCACATGGGGTTTTTTTTGCCTTGACTCAAACTGCTTCTGAGAGCAAGGCTTCATGCTTTAGGGACTTCTGCCCTTTTCCTCAAGGCCAGGTAATGTGGTCACAACTTAGACGTCTTGCCACAGACCTGCAGGGACACGAGAGATGCATTCTATTTGCAAACTAAAAGAATGTTGAATTTCGTCAATGGAGGGCCTCATCTGAGCTCCTTAAGACCAAGCAAGCAGTCAGGGTGCAGTACTCAGAGATTGCATGACCTTTTCTTTGACCTATCAAGAAGACAATGGAAAAGAAAGGGAATTTTCCACCTGTCCTAGGCACTTCCTGTTGAGCATCTTCCTCTTTATAGTTCCATAGGAGACAATCTATTCTTAACCACTGTTGTACATAACTATATATTGTACAATTTAGTCTATTTCTATGTAGTGTATATAAAAGCTTGTCTTTATGAGATATGGTACCAACAGATAAGAGATAGCAAGGTGAATCTCCTTCCTGCCTGGAAATTTGGAGCAGATGACAAATGTTCTCTGTTCCTTTTGTTCCTCACCAGGATGGACTCCCTCCCTTCAGCAGACTCCCTGTGCTGGGACCTTACAGACGATGTCACCTCTGTAAACATCCTGAGGCAATACTCTTTGACATACTAAGAACTACACTGTTCATCTTAATTTGCTTGCTAAATTATGTTCTGTCAATCAAGAAACTCCTCATGGTGCCTTGTATGATCCCTTGAGGCTGATTCATTGCAGGTGTCATTTGTTTTGGAATCAGTCTCTTAGTCCTATTGTTTAGTAATCAAATACAACATGGTATTGGACTTACCTTACTTTTGGTACGCAGTTTCCCATGCTTCCACTGGATCTCTGCACCCACCTTTGGTAGCCAGTTTTGGAGTGGTTTCCTTGCTGGCTGAATTGTTTTCTGTACTGGCTGTTCTACAGAACGAAACTCAGTGACCAAAGCAGCTCGCTATCTCACCGTAAGTGCATGCACCTCTCAGATGTTGTGCACCTAAAAAACCAAAAACCACCCCAAAGCCTCCACTGCGGGGAAACGTTAACAAGTGGGGGTAGGAGAGGAAGAGAGGTAGAATGGCTGAGTGATGGAGCTTCCTGGGGTGCTGGGATGATCTGGTGGTCTCCACAAAGCGACTAATGTTGCAGAGTGGATTCCCTCTAGGTTTGGTAGTCTGAAACAGCAACTTAGGGTGCTTTTGGCAAGAGGAAACCACATGCCTAGCCATCTTGCTCTTCTGAGAAATGCTGTGACAAACTGAATGGTAAAAACCAAATGCTTCAAACCATAATGAAGCATAGCCCTTGCTACTGAAGCTTTCCAGTGCAGTCTTTTTGTGATTATTTTTTTCTTTTATGTCCTTTTTAAAAAAAAAAATAAAAAATATATATATACTTTTATGCCTTTTTCTTTCTCCCAAGCTACAAGGATGACAGAAAAATAGAAGAACCAGAAATATAATTTGCAGGGTTTGTTGGCTGGGGAGGAAGCAAGTTTTAGTTGACACGTTGTAATTGCCATACATTGCCGGGAAAAAAATATTCTCTGTAAGACTTCAGGTGTCGGCAGCCATTTCCTCAAACCTCAGAGGTGAGAAGCGTTGAGCAGTTAACAGGACACTCTAAGAATATGTGCTGTCCCCTGGGAAAGTGTGGTTTTTCTCATAGATGTGCACCACCATGGTGTGGTCTCCACTAAGTAGCCCCCTCCTTTGTTTCTGTTTTGCACTTTGCCAGGCAGTCTAACACCAGATTTCAGCAACAGAAGCTGTAACTTGCATCTGGCAGCAGGGTGATAGCAGAGGGAGGGAGTCCAGTTTGGGGAGAGATCACAGATCACATACCTATTATTCAAAGGTGACAAGGATAAACAGCTATGTCTGTGTGCAAACTACCCTAGTGTGCTCTAAAACCTGTACACAAGCACAACAGTTTGTCTGTAACCCTGCCCAAATGAGCACCACCTGGTCCTGCAGCATCCCTTGGCCTTTGAACTGACACAGCCTGCCCTTATGCAATGCCAGAGGCCAGAGCAAATGTTAGTAGATGCAGCTACTGTCCTTGCCTCAGTGTACTCTCCAAATTCAGCTGAGATGCAGAGTGATTTGCCACATGCAGGCACTACTTAAACATGTTCTAAAGTTCCAGACCTGTCCAATTGCATTTAACAAGCTGCCTCCCAACAGTGCTACCTACAGCTAGAGGTGAGGAACCAACCTCCAAAAGTCACTGCAACTCAGAAGTGGATGAAACCCTCTCCACTTGTTTTGTTCTCTTTACAGGCAATGTCCTGAGAGGTGGCACTGAATCCTTCTGACACGGTAGGCAGATGTCCACTTGTTAACCTGGGTTTGGATTTCTGAAAAAACAGTGGTTTAGCCTGGTGGTTGATAAAGCAATGTTTTAGACTATAATTGTGCCTGAGTGGATTCCCTTGGCAGTATTTTCTGGAAGTTCATCTATGGGAATTATTAATTGCATTAGTCACTTGGTCTGTGGGGAAATGCTGGCATTTTGTGACTGTGCAATTCTTTTATGTCCTGTTTCAAATTTACTCAGAACAATAGAGAACACCCTGGTGAAACAAAAAGGAAGAAAATAGTACAAATCACTGTGCTTTTCAAGCTGTGGTTGCAGAACTACTTCTGCCTAATTTATCCTAATTTATTCACTGTCTTTGGAATGTGACTGAAGCTCAGGCATTGCGTGCAGTTCTCAGAAATGAGGATGTCGTGCAACTGAAGCTGAAGAGCCTGGCTTCTGACTGGCAAGGAAGGAGGTCTGTAATCCACCAAAAGTCTATGCAAAGATGAACAGAGCAGCAGTATATGCACTTAAAGATACATTCACAAATTTCAAATAAGTGGTTGGATTAATGGGTCTCACACTATGAGTAAAATGTTGTGTTTAAAGCAATTAATCAACTGCTGATGTTATCTGGTCCCTGGAGGAAGGGGAGTGGTCCAGCAGAGATGCTGCAGCAGCTGGATGTGCATACAAACACCGACTCATGAAGGCTGCTAGGGAGGTCCCTACAGGCTCAGGTTCCCTGTGGCACCAGGAGCTGTCAGAGGAAAAGCAGAGCTTGGAAGGAGCAGCCAGCATACACAGCTCTTTCTCACCGGGGATGCTCTAACAAATTAAACCCACCAGCTTTAACAAAACTGGCATTTTAAAACTAATTTTCCCCACCAGCAGAGCCTTCTCTGTCATTTGCTAAGACTGAAAGTTTGCTCTTCATTGAAAAGTGTTTCCTCTAGCAGCGCACAGTTTTTAAGGGTTCTGGAAGATCAGAGTGTTTCTGGGAGAAAATAAGTTGGTTAAACCTGACAAGAATATTTGCTACATACCAGTTGGGCTTGCAGTTCTTTTTGAACTCAAATGCAGTTCCTTTTGTGATCACTAAGTGACGATCTCACATTTTGATCAGGCCAGAATGCTCTTCCAGAAATTTTGCAGGAAAGTGCAACCATGCGAATAACTCAAGGAAATGAAAATAAGGTATCTCAAAGGGAAAAGGCAATAGTAAGAAGCAACTGCAGTTTTCAGACTTATGGGAATGATTTTTTGAACCTACTCAAAAGCACATCCAAAATGTGCTTTTTTTAGAGGAATACTGATACTTGCGCTGTTTCTGTTTTCAGATTAGTTGCCACTAAGGAGAGAAGGAATCATAAATGTAGAAGCATGTGTGAGAATTTTTTGTGTCACTTTATGGCTTGGGCCTGCTGGATTTGCATAATTTGAGGCTAATCTGTGTGGCCATTCAACGGAGAGAAAACATTTTATTTGCAATCATAGTCATTTGCAGTAGTAAGAATTTGCAAAAATGTAATCCACCTCATCAGAAATTGGAAACATGAAACACAATTGACCAGCAGAAGTTTGATTAGCAAATGAGGTCTCACAGGCCGTCTGCCCCACTGTGCTATAGGAGAGCACCTGTGGCTGAGGGCTTGGCTGGTTTCAGCAGTGATCACAACCCACACAAAAAGGGGAACACGGGCATAACAATGACAAAGCAATAAGGCACAAAAACAGTGACTCAAACAAGTTGTGTGACCTATTTTTATGTCGTCTCAGGGGATGGTGGAGGAGGAAAGGCATGTTTGTGGAAGGGCAACCCTGTCTTTCCAAGGGACAGGGCTGGGGAAGGATCATGGACCTGTGGAGATGGGGGCAATCTCAGTGGAGGAGAGGTGAGACCAAGCCTCTGCTCTTTCCCTGGGGCAGCACATGACCTAGGCCCTGAATCCACCTCTTGGCTTGCTTTGGTCTCCCTAACCTAGAAAAAGAGTTGTGTCACAGGAGCATCAGCAGCTGATGTGTGCAGACCCCTAACTGTGTCATCTGAGTTACATATAGGGACATTTGCACTACTCCTTGCAGCGTGACCTTTCCTGGAGCTCAGCTCAAGGCCAGGGTGGCCTTTCCATCTGCAACCCACAGACACTGGGTGCTGAGCCATTTTCAAAATCTGTGCTTGTATTTAGGTGCTTATTAAAGTCCAACCTTATGGACAAAGTGCTTGTGAAAAACCCAGTACCCCTCCCTGTCTGTGTGTGTCCCAGCACAGCTGGGAAAACCTGAGTCTCTGGGACTGACTTTCATTGTCATGTCCCTTAAAATTCAGTTGTGTCATAGAGGCAACAGGTTTTACAAGGTGCCATTTACTGTAGTTGCATGGTGGGGAATGTCCCGAGAGTAAGAACGAAGTGTATAAGAATGGGGAAGTGGCACTCAGTGGATCAGTCACTCGTCTCACAGTGCACAGCTAAGATGATGATGGTCACTTGCCTGCTCCTCTCCAGCATCTGGGCTGCTGCTCCAGGTAACTCCTTTGTCTGTCTGGGTGTCTGTGTCATGATCCTAAGAGCATTAGGGACCTCAGTGGCCGTGCCAGCCTCCTGTGCTGCTGGGTGCTGCAGTACCCACCTTGCACCCTCCTGGGGCAAGCCCAGTGGTGACACGGCACTTGTGGCACTTTACTACTTATCTGGGGCTTCAGGCATGTCACTGATGATTGTGTTAAGAGCATCCACTTCTTAATTTACCACCAGTGTATTTATAAATTCCAGAGAGATGTACAAATTTATTGCAATAGGAAAATTATAAAGCAGACAAACCATGCTTGTAGGTATCTGCTCAGGCCATCAAAAGCATGGGTGTATTACATTGGTTTTGTATATAAAATCATGTAGAAAAGGCTGAATTAGTTTTAAATTAGCTTTCATGATCATGGTTTGTAGTCTGCCTGTGGCACTGCTGAGATCTGGAAAGCAAAGTGACTGGCACAGCTTGACAACTGGCTTCTTGGTCTTTGATGGAAATCCGCCTGGCCATGGTCACAGACAGAATCTCAGAGTACTTTGTAGAGTGAATTAGCCTATTGTACCTCTGGGCTTTGCAGTTACCCTTCTCTGCAAAGACATTTCCCTTTCTTGTAAATTGAGTTATGTTTTCAGTGCTGCAGCTGTTACTGCTGATATCTCCCTTCCTATGCTGACATGCACAAATGAACTTTGAAAACTATTATGCCAAGAGAACTGTGGAGCTGAGCTGTCAGCCTCACCTTGCCTGTATCCTTAACAATTTTTTCATGTCTACAAATTGGAAGAGGAGACTGATTATTTTCTTCTTTTCCCTGGAGAATTTTAATACCATGGCATTTATACTGTGAAAGTTTTCTCCCTGTGGGCCTTCAGTAGGGTCTTTTCTGCAGCTGTTTCTCAGAGCATGACTTTGATGCTGAGATAAGAGGACAGATGTAGTTTGCCTCAGGCCCTCCTTACCTTGCCTTTTTCTTCTGGTTTTCTGATCTTTTCTGATCTCTGACAAGTGTGAATACATGATGTATAGTGAGACACATAATAATTTTTAGCATTTTTACTGTTTTGCTTCACCCCACACCACAAGCTGGCTAAGAGGGTGGTATTGGGCCAACAGTTGTTTGGTTGTCAGCATGGTTGAAAGTTTGGGGAATCTGTCCATGGGATATCAGTCCTAACAGACAAATCAGTGGCTCCCAACAGCAGAGCTGCCTTTCTCAGTGGTGCTCTCTGCAACACAGGTATCAGGCTGGCAAGATGCTTGGTGTGACAGGTGACAGGTCCAGTGAAATTTTCTCGGTAGTTCTTTCAAGCTGCATTTTCAACTTTTCCCTAGATGGAGGGATAGAGAAATCCTCCAGAGTTGCTCTGCTTGGAAATGAGGGTGAGGGGCTGCAGGGGCCTCCGCTGGGGTTGGGTTGCAGAAGAGTGTGAGAAATGCTGAGTGTGGCACCTGCTTCTCCCCCAGCCTCTGTGCAGGTGATGAACAGAAAGGTCCAGTCAGTCCAGGTGGGAGGAAACGTGACTTTTTCATGCCAGTCAGTCACGAGAGAAGATGTGATACAGGTGACGTGGCAGAAGGAGACGCACGGGGCTGAAGACAACATAGCAACTTACAGTACGATGAATGGCCAAAAGATAACCAAGGCCTATGTCAGCCACGTGAGCTTTGCCCACAGCGAGTTACAAGCCTCAGCCATCTCCCTTCATGGAGTCACCCTCCATGATGAAGGATGCTACAAATGCATCTTCAACACATTTCCCTCGGGGGCTGTCGCCGGCAGGATGTGTCTCAAGGTTTATGGTAAGGCACAGTAATTGTATGTGGGAGCTCATCTGAGGACCGAGTCATTTTTCCTGTGAAAAACCTTCCCTAACATTGCTACACTGATGTGGGAAAAATATTTGTCCCTGGCACTTTCCCCCTCTGGTTTTACCTCTGATGGGAAATCAGCGCTCAACAGTTCTTTAATTTGTTTCCCTTTCAAGTCAGCAACAGCGAGATTCAAAACTGATGCGTAACCCATGACTTCCTCCAAGTTTCCCTGGTGCTGTGCTGTGCTGACAGCTGCGTGACCACAGCCATGAGCCCTGTCCTCCTCTGCTTCCTTTCACTGCTGCTCTCACCTCCTAATCCTAGACATCAGGCCATTTTTAACTTGCTCTGCATTTGGTTGTAAAAAAACTGCTGAGTACTCAAAAAGCAGAGAGGCACATGCGTGACCAGAATAGCTGGAAGCTTATTTTGAAGCTAGAGTAAAAATAACAGTAGTTGGGCTGGGGTCAGGAAAAGAAAGCAAAAAAATAAATAGAAGGCTGAAACACTGTATAGCTCTTGGGATTTGACACATGAGTATCTTGATCAGGTCAGCATCAACTAGCTTAAAGAAGAGAGTTGAAACAAATCATGAGTCAGGATGGCAATATTTGTTACCTCCATATGAAATTACCAACCAGCAAGTGCAACCTGAAATATAGACAAATAGATGAACTCAAAAAAACTAAGAGTGACAAGCTGCTTATCTTTTGAGGAAAAGTGCTGGATTTTGTCCAGCTGAGAAAGCTGAGACATTAAACATGCTCTGAGGACACCCTGATGGCTCCTGGCTTTCTCAGGGATGAGACTGCTGTGGGGAAACTGGTGAAAAATCATATCCCATGTGGAGAGTATCAGTGTTTGTGTCCTGTCACTGGTGATATGACCCCTGCAGAGTATTTTGTTTTTCCCTAGTATCTTCTGCTAACAAAGACATAGACACATATCTCTCGAGTCCTCTGTGTGGAGAAAGGAAGCTCCTAACTTATAGGGGAAAGGATGTGGTGGTGGAAAATTTTGGAGAAAACAAAAGTTCTTTTTCCCCTCTTTTGGGAAAACTAGGGCAGAAAAGAGAAATGAGAAGAAATCCATGCAGTATTTCACATATGAAGAGGAAAGTTCCTAAAGAAATCCGGTTTTGAATCATCCAGAGGGTAAACACTGATTATATGATACAGGAAAAACATGGAAGTGCCTTGCAGAACAATCCTGTTCTTTTTAACCATGTAGATCAAAACACAGAGATTTCTTCTGGTTTTTGGTTTTGGTTTGGTTTTTCTCCCTATCTAAGTGGGGGAACTCCTTCCCAAACTCATCAACCTTTTGTCTACTGTTCATCCCTCACCAGAGCACTACTTCTTAAAAAAAAAAAAAAGGGATGTTTTTCTGCTGCCACAAACACTCATGTAAGCACCTCTTCCTGCAACTCAGATGAAAAAGCATCAACTGAGAAGGGTTGAACTTCTCTCATGGGTTCAGAGGCCACGAGGCTGCCTCACCAAGGTCATGGTGGCCTTCGTGTCATGTGCTGTATCAAGCCAGCCCTGGAGGGTCACCCTGAGCAAACTGAGCATTTGGCACTCTTACAGGAGCTTTTAGTTCATATCTGGTTATTTCATTGAAGCTAATTTATACAATGTGACTTCAAAGCCACAGTCTTGCTCGTTATTCCCCAACCCCTAATGGTGGGAACAACTTGTCTGAACCAGCCCAGAGGGTGCCCCACGAGGGAGAGTGAAGCCAGAAGGAATCTCCCAAGGCTCAGAGGTTCAGGCCACGGTGAGCTAATCAGAGTCACCAGCTGAAAATGAAATGCTGCCATGTCTTTGCCCTCAAGAGGGGACTGCCAGGGGGTTTACAAGCTGGTAATTGCCTGATTACAGCAGCCTTTGCGAGCCCGGCTGTTCCGGGACAGCACGGGCATCATCACCGCGTGATGAGGGGAAGAAGTGAAACCACCTAAGAACTGGATGCAACACTGTGAAAAAAGAAACAGGTATGACTGGAGGTATGTCAGAGCTGCCTGGCTGAAAACAGCAAACCCAGGAGCAGAAACCTCGTACCCTGTAGCAAAATCCATTTTGGAACAGAATAGTTTCAAGCAAGCTTGCTGGGTCTCTTTTGAGCAGTCTGCTGCCTTTCCCCCTTCATCTTACTTTGGAAATATTTTGCCAGCCTTCATTGTCAAAGAGGATGAGAATGAAATCCAGGGTGAGGATTGAGGGAGAAGTATGGAGAGAGGGGGATGTGCCACATGAGGATAGGCAAGACTTGCTGAATCACGAAATTCCCTGGACATTTGTCTTTGGGGACTGCCTGCCTTCATTGTAGATGGCAGCATTTGTCTGGAAGTCTTGAGCACAGCTGGATAAATGCCATTGCAGTTCCTGAGGGAAACCAAGGCACAGACATGCTGGTGACCAGCCGTATCGTTTGAAAAAGCTTTCTCATCATGAGGCAAGCTGTGATTCCTACAATCTTTTATCATTCTCTGTAGCACCACTGCCAAGCCTTTAAACATAAAAAGCATATCATATCATACCCTGATGGTCCCCCTCTAATTACAGAAAGCCATTACCAAAGGTCCTTTTTTCAAATATTTGGGAATGCTGACAGAACTCAAATTTGGGAACATCTGCAATACTGATCCGCAAGAGAGACTAAAGCAAGTACTGGCACACAGCATCTCAGGCAAAGACTTTTTTACTGGAAACAAGTATTTTGATGAAAGGCAAAAGAAGCAGTTAAGTGTATGATGTATACATGAACAGCCAGCACATGCTAGCAAAGAGTGTAGCAGGACTTTACTGCAAAAGCAAGCACTCACAGGTTTTGACAGTGCATCTATTACAGACATTTGCTAGAGAGAAGCTCAGCCCTACAGGCTCATTCCTGGAGCTCCATTGTGAGAAGAGTGAGAACCCTAGGTTATAGTTAGTAGATAGAGTAGCTAGAAGAAGAGCAGTGCATGAGTTTCTGGCAAGACACTGAGAATTCTCATCCTCTGTGGTAACAGCTGTGACTTCTCCCTTTGATTGCTTCTGAATTTTGCAACCTAATATTTGAAGTTAATGCTGTGGGTGAATATGTTTTTTTTTATTTATATGTTTTTATGTTATTAATTTTATTTATCTGTTTTTCTATTATTTATTTATATGTTTTTTATGTTTATGTTTTTATATGTTTCTATATTATCTTTATGCATCCAGTGAGTGAAAGAAGAAGTTCAGAGATCAATTATTAATCAAAACATAAATCATGACACTAGTCTTTTCATACCTGGGAGATTTTGAGAAGTTCCAAGTGAAATCCCCCTACACACTTTCCTTGTTTTTCTCAGAGGTTTCAGCAATTCTGTGGGAGTTGATTTTTTCTTGTCTATGGTTGATGCAAAAAGTGAAAAATACAAGTTTATTTTTTCTAGGTTCACACAACTACAGTAAGTAAATGAGGTCAGGCTTGTAAAAAAAACCAACCAAACAAAAAGCAGCGCAATTTTTTGTATACAAAAATCTTGCTTACACTCTCTTGGAAGACACAGACAACCTTTTGAGGTGTGTCTGGAATTGTACCAGTAGGTTATAGGTGTCATTAAATATCTGGCACACGTCTTTTCCCCTTTTTGCAGTGTCTGCTACACCTTACAGGCAAATCTTGGTTTACCTCACAAAAGAAAAAATCATTGTTTTTCCTGAGAAGAAGGAGAAGTTTTGTTATCTTGTTTAAAAGCAGGATTTCTAGATGATAGCAGTATGTTCTAGTGTTGGGACAAAAATTAATTTCAGCATAAATATTGCACTTATCACTGTTATTTTTCTTATGTAAGTAGTAATATACACATTGAGTTCTACTAATTATATCTGTGGATACTTTTTTAATAGGAGAGCATTCATGGTAACTCAGACTTGATTGAAACTAGAATTGCCACTGCACATAAATGCTGAAAAAAAGCAATATTCTCAGAAACAGAGGCATAGAAGTAGAGTGTGGTTTAGACCCCTATTCCATCAGCACATGCACTGAAGTAGAAGGCAGGCTGGTGAGCTGTCACACAGAAACCCACAGATTGCACTCCCAAATGGAACTACACACCTTTATTTTATTGGCCTGTGAAAATTAACCTTATCAAACTGAGCAGAGGCTTGAACTAGACAATCCCTGAAGTCCCTTCTGACCTAAACTATGATATGATTTTTTGCCAAAGGATAAATAGGCAGTTTTTCACATGGAACATGCCCTATGTGTTCAGATGTCACCTGGAGTTCTATCCAGGTTGAAACCAACTGCCTGAATTTCTCCCCTTTATCTAGTCCTTACAAATACAGTTTGTATAAATAGGAATCAACAAGTAGGCTTCATGTGAGCGAGTAAGCATGAATGATGCTTATAGTTCATCCTTCTTCCAGACTAAAATTAAATGTGAGAGCATCTGCAAATCTTCTAGAGTGAGAGTGTTCAGAAGTGATCTTTCAAGATAGTTTTGAGGGATATTATGGGATACCCAAAACCCATTTACAAGAGGAAACAAAGTTATACACAAACCCTCCATATGTGAAATCCCATGGTGTAACCACATACAAATTCACTGTTACTGTCTTGCATAAATAGATGCATTTAATCCTTTGATTTGCAACTCTACACACCTTAGCAGTAAAGCTAATCCTGCAAGTAATTTTAAAGGAAAATAATTCTAACTCGTTTACGCAGTTCAGCTCTTTCAGAGAGAGAAGGGCATATGAATTCACAGTTACACTACGTTCTGCTTTTAACTCAGGTATAATTACCACTTCTCAGCTGGGATGCTGCTGCTAGTTACAGAACTGAAACAGATACTTCTACCCTCTTGCCCTCTTTCTTTTGTCTCTTCACTTCCAGGCTGCTGTCTGATCACTTTCATATTTGTCACTGCTGCAGCTTTGGGAAGGGGGAGATTAGATAAGCAAGCTTTTCCTCCAAGACAACTGTGAATACAGATGCTCTTTGCTCAAACATTACCAGAAACTAATTGACTTTGTTGCTTTGTTGTTTACAGCCATCTCAGACCCCATAGTGGAAACTAAGATTATACCCAGTCCAGATAAAGCTGAGGACTCTGAGAAAATGGTGGGGATGAGCTGCTCAGCAACAGGGAAACCAGCTCCAAAAATAATTTGGCACCTTCCCAGCATCCTGCAGCAGAAACCAAGGGAATACCACATAAAGTTCAGCAACCAGACCGTGACTGTCATCAGCAATTTTACCCACACCCACTCCAAAATCCTTCGGGAGTACCCCATCACCTGTGCAATCCAACATCCTTCTCTAAATGTGACCCTGGTCCTGCCCACAGACAGCCTGGAGCAGGGTCAGTATGTAACTCTGCTGCTCTGGAGTGGGGCAGAAATTGGGAAGCACCTCCTGGGGTAGATCAGAAACTGCTCAGAGGGTTGGGAGCAGGTGGGGAAGGGCAGCTGTGGCTGGGCTTGGGAGGGATGGAAGAGGTGCTGTGGGACATCCAGATGCACTGGTCAGTGGCACTAATTTTTTACTGCTCCTCAGGTTCTCTTACCCACCATTATGTGGCCTAGCCTCCCTGTCTCTGTGCAGGACTGTTTGTGACAGAGTTTCCTATCACATAACGTGACAAACCAAGAGGTGCCAGCGTTGGGTAGCTCAGAGGGGCTGGGCTCTGCATGCCTGACTTTAACATCAGACCCCATGCACAGGTCTGCTGGCAGTGCCGCTTGTGTGCATCATGCTGGAATGTGCTCCCAGCTCCCCTGTCCACCCCATTTCACCCCAGGGAACGGCCAAGGGGTGCCTGAAATGGACTTGGGGTTGTTTATTTACTTTGTGCACAAACTGAGTAGCTGCTGTTTTCCCACAGGTCCAGAGAGCAGCATGGCACCAGCCATTGCCATTGCAGTGGGGGTCCTGGTGCCCCTGACTTCTCTTCTCCTTCTCACCTGCCTTCTTTACCTCTGCCTCAGGCACCTACGTGACCCAGAGAGAAACCCAACCTGGCCATGCTGGGTAGGTCTGCCTTTCCTCAGGGTTCTGCAAAATTCACCCCCACAGGACTTGGGGCTCAATACCATGACCTGGCTCCGCCCAGCCACACCAGGGCTGCCTGCACACTGCCCAAGCCAGGCTGAACCTGGGCTGGAGAAGGACACAGCAATGAGCCCCCAGCCAGACAGCTGGGAAGGGGAAACCTGATTCTGCACAGCCAGCCTACAGTGCCCAAGAGTGCTGGCAGCTAGAAAACATTCACTGTGCCAATGACAAGGCATGCTGTGGTGGAAGCATCGTTCTACTACCATATTTATGCACAATATAGTTGTGTAAGCAGTGGCCAGACCCTTGCCAGCAGTGGCACCAGTCTTCTGCAGCTCCTAAAATAACCATCCCCATCACAGCTTACAAAGGCAGCAGCTTTGAGGATGGGTCTCAAACAAAATGTGGTCTTCAAGGAAGACTGCCTCTGGGAAGGAAGCCCAGGGTGCCACACTGGGGCACAGGCTGAGGCACTGCTGGTTGTCCATTGAGGCTATTCCAGTGCAGGGGGTGCAGGATACAAGCTTGAGGTGGGGGTAAACTGAGTGAAATGGCAGCATTTCAGGAAAACACAGTCCAGTTTTGTGAAGACTCCTCATCCTCCTTGTAGTATATGCGTAGCATGTGCACCCTGGATTTTGGTGAAAATTTTGGAGAAAAAGAAGCAGTGGAGGAAATGCAACATGTGTCTTCCATGGGTGTTATACCTCTAGGTCCAAGCTGAAGACTGCTGGTGGGATTACCAGGGGAAAACTTTAGTCTTCCCTCACAGAGAGATGAAAAGACTCACTTGGCAATACAAATTTACCCTCACATGAAAAACATCCACGTATTTTGAAGAAATAAACACAACAACCTCTCTTTCATCAGGTACTTCCTGCCTGCACCAAGGCCGAGAAGTGCAGGCAGTACGGAGCTGCAAGCAGGTGGGCTCCTGCGGTGTCCCCCAGCCTCGGTGCACCACTGAACACCTGAGAAGCTGCCCAACCTACACATGCAAGAGAGAAACTCTTAAAATGGCACTTCAAGCTTCCAAGGAAACCTCCTGTGACTTTCTTCTAGAGAAATATAAAAAGGGACAATTTATAATATATATTTATTTATTACATTATAATATTCTGTTTTGTAAGGAAAAAATGTAAAGTATTTATTTGAAACTCAGGCTGGCTGTGTGGATCCATTTAGTGGAAATCATGCTTTGTATTTTTGGGGGCTTTAACATTGTTTATTACCATTTGATATTTTAACATTGTAAATTCAAAAGTGGATGGGGGATTGTCTGAAACAAGGCAGCATTTTGTAAGGTTGCCAACTTGGAAAGTGTTGTGGATGGACCAAAGGAGCCCCCCACCAGGAAACCTGTGGAACATCCCAGCACACTGCTCTGAACTTCAGGTGTTAAACTTGTCCCCTAAAGGGCACAACAGATCAGGCCAAGACTGCAGCCAACCCAAATTTATAACCCAGGTGCCAGGAGCAGTGCGCTTCAAGTCAGGAGTCATGAGGAACTGCAAAGTCCAATTTCCAGCAACTTCTCCTGGAAAGCAATGTAAAAGGCACATAAGTGTTTCCTTCTTCCCTGTTTCTCAGGGGCTTCCACAGCTTCCTTCTTAGTGTCTGTGATCTGTCACAGCTGCCTTGTGTTTCCTGGCATCCCACCCACCTGCAGGAGACAGCGGGGCAATAAAAGGGCAGGTGCAGGATTTGTAGGTCGTCCAGTGCATTTTGTTTCATTTTGTTTGTGTCCTGGTGTAGTGGCACGTGGGTGCAGTGGGAAGCAGGAGGCTGGTAGGCCTCAGGAGGTGGGTGCTTTATTTATTTCCATACCAGGGCAGGGCAAGGAGTGTTCTTATTCTGACAATGCTTGGCTTCTAAGCAGTGGCTCAAATCTGAGCTGTAATCTCCAGTAAGTGCCTGAATTGCACCATATGTTCATAAAGTCTTGCAGACTTAGGGAAGGAGAAATGAGCCCACCTGCCTCATGCTGGTCTTGTGGGAAGCCACCAGTGCAGGCTGCTTCCTCTCCTGGCTTCCTGGAGCAAATGCATGAAATTTGGGCTTTCCTCATCCATGTATTTCAAGCAGGCATCCCACATGAACCACTAAATTTTAGTCAAAAAGCCAAGTGAACGAAAATGAAAGCAAGTAAGCGAGTTGAGAATGAGTAAAGCAGGTCCTCACTATAAAATACTTCTTGTAGACCTCCCTAACACCTAGAAAGAGCACAGCTGGTGAGTGAGGGGAAAGGGGAACTGGCTGCAGCTGTTACAATTGGGGTTTTTTTTCCATAGCACGTTAATTGTCAAAGGAGGAAGTAATAGTTTGTCCAAACTTTTCCACCATTGCCGCTTCATTTCTTCCTTGATGAGGGAAGAGGCCGGGGAGAAGGTTTTTCCCTGGATATGTGGAGGGCAGGAATGGGGTGGAGAGCCCTGGCACCCTTCCTGAGCAACCCTTGCTATTCTGCAGAGTCTGCACTTGCAATTTACAGCAGTTTGTTTGAGTTTTAACATGAGGTTTCTGCTTGTGTTTAGATTAAAGTTTTGTTGTTTTTGTTGTTTGGTTTGTTGGGGTTTTTTTAATTAAAAAAAAAAATCTCTTGAAGAAACAGGGAGTTTGGACATGGAAAAACAAAAGGACTTCCTGGGGGAAGAGAGAAAAAGCACAATGGCAGTGAGAAATCCATTCAAACCCAGAAAAATTGCAACGATTATCTATTACTGTTTTCTACAAGCTGGTCACCTGGAGTGTGGGAAAGCAGGGCTTGGAGTTATGAAAGTATCTGCTTATGTGTGGGGGTTTAGTTTCTTTTACTTTTTAGCTGAATACAGAAATTTTTAAAGCTTTTAGAGGTTTCTGCTTAGGAGCATGATAGATCCAGCAGCTGGGTGAGGGATGAAATGACTTATAGGTAAAATTCTGTACAAGATTTCTTTTTTCATTCATGATATCAGAATGAGAACATGACATCCAGTCACAGAACACTTAAAACCAATACATATACTTAACTTCATGCTGTGCAAAGCCATCTACTAAGATGCAGTGCCATAAAATGCTGAGTGCTACTGCTGTGATGTTTGGCTTCATGTAGCAATGAAATGAAGGCAAGAATACAGACTATGGATAATTAACTGGCTGACAGCTATGGGGGAAAAAAGAATATGGAATAGATACAAACCTTCTTTGGTGGAATAAACAAAAGCATGACTGAGGGAATTGGAAGTTTTGACTATGAATTATGAACATCCTAACTGCTGTTATGAGATTTCTTTGTGATTAGTTGGTGCATGTCTGTCCAGTTACTTCTGTTAACAATTTGTAAGAATTCCTTGGAGGTTATATTTCAAGTGGGTTTATACAGACACCTAGTATTTGTTTTAATAAGTGTGTGATTTTAATAAAGGGTGAGTTTGATCCCCAACACCTTTTGTCTGCTGTCACCCTGCATGGCTGTAGGTGGAGACAGTAGGTGAGGTTGCTGTGGAGCTTGAAATGATAAATAGAAACAAAACTGGTAGGATATTTAAGTCAAATAGACTGCTCTATTTTTCTGCTCCAATACAAGTGACACAAAGCAGATTAACTTTGTAAGTGAATGGAAGCAGACCATATTCTCAAACTAAATTCTGCAGGAATGTTCTAAGCTATTAGTGCCACCAAAACCAAAAGGAAAAAAAAAAGCCTAGGATTTTGTTTTGAGGCTGGGCAGTTTTCAGTCTCACCCAGCTCTGCCTTTGGTCACTTTGTGTCACTGCATTTTGTCCAGCTTAGGGACAAGTGGTGTATAATTTCTCCTAACTGATGGAAAAAGGGCAAACAAGAATGCCACCTTCCTTCTTGCCTCTCACTTAGATAAAACTGGTTCTGCATAATGTGTCTCTCTATAATGCAAATGTAGCCTTCACCTCTCTGCTTTGGGATCCTTTGACCCTGACATCAGCCAGTTTGGGTTAAGATTTTAACTCATCTAAGAAGTGAGCTTTTAAACAGTTGAGACAGATATGTAAATAAATAAATAAATAAAATTAAGGTTCTTCAGGCTGTATAAAATGTCCATGCTTCTGTTTTGGCATGCCAGACTTTTTCAGAGGTGTATTGTGATGGTATTTTTCTCTGCCTAGATACTGGGTTCCTGGTTCTAAGAGAGCAGTAAGATACAAGCAAATTGGCCCCAACAACTCTGGCTGAAGATAAGACTTTGAAATGTAGCTGAAATGTTTGTCTTAGATATTTTACAAGCATTGGATGAAATAAAGAATATTCTTCTACTGAAACCAGTGCTGGTAGAGGCATAGGACTAAATTTGTACAGTGAAAAGTGAATCATTAAAAACCAATATGACCACGGACAAAGAGCCTCTAACTAATTAAAGTTAGAAAGCAGTATGTTTATTCACTGGTGGGTGGCATGGGGATCATCCCCAAAAGGTGTGACCCCCTCAAACAAGGTTCTCTTGGTTTTTTGTGGTTCTTTTAAGTTTAGCACTGGTTGAGGTGGTTGAGTTATCACAACTTCATCTTTTCAGGGAGCAGGAAGTGAGTTATATTAAAATCAATCCTAAAGTTCTTAATTGCACATCCTTGTATTTTGAGCCTATACTCAGAACAGTTAGTTAAGCATTTGTCACAGCATTCAGGGCCAATTCAAATAGGTTTCATGGGTTTCTGATGAGATTCATGGAATCAATCTTGGACAAATGCATATTTACTTCCCTAAATATTTCTTCCTTCCCATACAGCTGCATTTGTAACTTTTACCATCTGAATTAGAGACTTACAGGAGTCAAAACCATAAGCTTTTTCTTGGCACTCATATATACTGGTCACATTATATACAAGTGGTACTGCATTAGCTGTGGCTATAGCTATGGTCATAAATGTTACAACTCTCCAGGCTATACCTACTTGATTATCCATTACAACTACAAACTTTTTCGTTTTTCAGAGAGTTGCTATACTATACTTATCATTTCACCCACACTCGTATTTATTCTCTTGAGAAAGCTTTGGTTTCAGTTCATTTTCACCCAGTCAACTTTCCAGAGTCCTTCAGGAGCTTTCGTCACTCAGGAGTGATGGATCCAAGTGTTCTTTGCTTCAAGCCCCAGCCACATGTTTCTCAGTTTCTCTAAGTTGTTTGTTTAGGGCTATCATATATCTGTGTAGGGTTTCTTCCCCTATTGGAGTGGGTGTTGTTCCTTCTTGAATTCCATATGGCCTTCCATACAATATTTCAAAAGGGCTTAGTTTTTCTTTTACTCTTGGCTTAGTCTGAATTCATAATAATGCTAATGGAAGAGACTGAGGCCAAGGTAACTTCACCTCTTGTCTCAATCTTATAATTTGCTGCTTAATCAAATTATTAATTTTCTCCACTTGACTGAGAATTATATGAATTTCCCAGTCTATGCCTAAATTGTGACCAATTTGCTGCACAATTTTTGAAATAAATTGTGGCCCCCTATCTGAGAACATTATGGCTGGGACTCCAAAGCATGGTATTATTTCTTGTAACAATGCTTTGGTTACCTCCTGGGCTTTGGTAGTTCTGGTAGGGAAAGCTTCTGGCCACCCTGAAAAGATATCTGTTAACACCAGTAAGTATTGGTACCCCCCTTTCCTGGGTAATTCTGAAAAATAAATTTGCCATTGCTGCCCAGGTCCATATCCTTTCCCAGTTTCCCCAAGCCTTGGTTTGGGAATATTTTTGGAATTAGTTTGGAGG